GAGATGTACCGTTACCCACCTCCAACACTTCAAGTCAAGGAGGTTCAAGTAGTGGTTTGGGCGTGAGTTCAAATTGGTATGGCGCCACAAGTAGTGACCCAAAGAAGAGGAAGGCTAATCCTATTGAGACAACATTTAACAATAATCTTATAGAACAATTAGATGGTGAGATTGCAAGAATGTTTTACACGGGCGGCTTACCATTTCAATTTTCAAGGAACCCCGATTATGTGAATGCCTTTAGGATCGCTTGTAGTAAAATACTTCCGAGTTACCAACCCCCCGATTACAATATGTTGAGAACTACACTTCTCCAAAGAGAGAAGAATAACATTGAGGAGTGTTTGCAACCAATGAAGAGGGCATGACAAAGTAAAGAGGTAAGTGTTTGTAGTGATGGGTGGTCGAATGCACAAAGAAGACCTCTTATTAATGTCATGGCCGTTTGTGAAAGTGAGCCTATGTTCTTGAAGGCAATAAATTGTGAAGGTGAATGTAAGGATAAATTTTTCATGGCGAACTTACTTATTGAATCAATCCAGGAAATAGGTCCTCAAAATGTAGTCCAAGTGGTCACTGATAATGCTCTGGTTTGTAAGGCGGACGAACATATTGTTGAGGCAAAGTTTAAGCACATCTTTTGGACACCATGTGTGGTCTATACCCTCAATCTTTCTTTGAAGAACATATGCTCACCCATGTGAAGACATCCGGAAGTGTATGAGCAATGTAGTTGGATTTCAACAATCTCAAGTGGTGCATGGTTTATTAAGAATTTTATTATGAACCATAATATGAGGTTGTCAATGTATAATGATATTTGTAAGTTGAAGTTGCTCTCCGTTGCCGAGACACGTTTTGCTTCTATAATTATGATGCTTAAAAGATTTAAGCAAGTGAAAAGGCTTATAGCAAATGGTTATTAGTAAGCAATAGAACATTTATAAAGAGGATGATGTGGTAAAAACAAGAACGGTGAAGGAAAAAATGTTGGATGAGTGCTTTTGGGAGGACATTGATTACATACTTAACTTTACTTCTCCAATATATGAGATGCTTAGGTTGAGTGACACGGATATGCCTTGTCTTCACTTGATTTATGAATGGTGGGATAGTATGATAGAAAAAGTGAAGACAATTATATATTAGAAGGAGCGCAAGCAACTCAATCAAGAGTCAATGTTCTTCAATGTGGTGCATGAAATTTTGGTGTACCAATGGACCAAGAGTAGCACACCGCTCTATTGCTTGGCACACTCTCTAAATCCTAAGGAAGTCTTTACTTTAGTAAATTTCTCCTTGTGCTTATCATTATAATTTTATAATTCTTATCATATACTTTTAGGTATTATTGCAAGGAATGGATTGATATGGCTCTTAATCGTTGTCCTCCACATAAAGACATTGAGATTAGAAGGGAGAGGAAGAAATGTATTAAGAGATTCTTTTCTAATGAGGTGGAGCAAAGAACGGTTAATGAGGAGTATGCCTCTTTTTTGGCATGTATTGAAGATTTTTCAGGTATGGACTCTATGAAAGATAGAGGTTTCATGGCTCTGGTAAAATGGTGGGTTATCCATGGAGCGTCCACACCACAACTTCAAACTATAGCATTAAACCTACTTGGACATCCTTCTTCCTCCTCCTGTTGTGAAAGAAATTGGAGCACTTACAACTTCATTCACTCTATTAAGAGGAACAAGATAACACCAGAAAGAGCGGAAGATTTAGTATTTGTGCATAGCAATCTTCGTCTCTTTTCAAGGAAAAGGCCCAATATAAAGAAGGGGAAACTCATATGTGGGATGTTGGAGGAGATGCATTTGATTCCATGGATTTGGAAAATGCCGGAGTGCTTGAGATTGCAAACCTCTCTCTTGATGAACCAGACTTAGAAGCCATCATATTTACCCATGATAAATGAAGTTAGAGCTTTGAGAAGTGATTTCTAATGTTTTAATTTGTGCTTTGTTTATGGATACTTGTATTTTGTGTGTTTTGTTTAATTTGTGCTTTGTTTATGGAGATTTGAATGAAGTTATGTGTTTTG